CTAGAAGAGTGTACATGGTGTTGTTTTACTCTTATTCCGATCTTTTAAATATGTTTCCCTGTCCTCGTTCTCTCAATGTCTTACTATCAAGAGACCTGCCGAATTTTAAGGAAGGTTGGGTAGAGGCAAAAGTTCCCCTTTACCCAGTGGACCTCGAATTGCCCGTGTTCCGTGCAAAAGCGTATGCTTGTTGATTTCAGGACATTTAAAAAAGGATCATCAAGGCACTAAAGGTCAGGATACGGTCCGAACAAGCGAGCATGCAAAAAGAGGGTAATACGCGACGCACTGACCTAAAACAAGTGTTCTAAGTTGTCTGATACAATGACCTTTGAAAACGACCAAATGTTACAAAAGCTGTCGTTGAAGGTGCTGACGGAGGAACAAGTTCAGATGCTTCGGTATGGTATCCTATTGAACATGGTCGGTACCAAGTCTGGTAACATGATTACGGTAATATAAACAGTCCTCGGTTCGACGGATGTGACAGGCGGGGCAAAGTACCCGCAGGGGTACTTAATGTAACGTTTTGTTAATTAATCTGTTTGTTTAAATGTCGTACCTTCTCACGGATCATGTGCAGCACTGAACATATAACACATTAGGGAAATCCGGGTCTACAAAGGCTTCGTTATCGTGTCTGCGAACAAGGGACGTCTCACTGTCGTCTCGGGTAAAACAGGTCACTCGTGGAAAGTCTACAGTTTAGTGAAGGATCGCCAGTTTTATATTGCACGAACAACCCCCTTAAAACACCGAAGCTCGAAGTTAGTGCGACGTTCTCAGCAGCGAGGTACTCTGCCCCAATACTGACAGCCGATCCGGTGCTTGGCGCGAGCCCGAGAGACGACCTCGACCCCATTTTGTGACCTTTGTTGAGGCACAGCAGTGAGAATGTGTCCCTGTCTGTGCGCTACCATCGTCGGGTCAGATCCCGTTGGAGGGAGAAAAACAGAAGGAACCAGAATGAGGGGTTTGTTCTGCGCAGAACCCGGAGTTGTCCTCTCAGGCGACAGTGGCCACTGGCGAAGGCAGGGCTGGTGTTGACTGCGTTCAGTCATGCCTGAGAGTCCCTGGGACAGTGGTGGCAGCCACTTTTATAGGCTCGTGGGCCAAGCTAAAGTGGTGTCCAGCCAGTGTGTGTTGCATTCGCCGAAGTGTGATGTGCCAGTGGCTTATGGTGTTGGTTGCAGGGGGTGACGCGTGGGTAAACGTGACACTGTGAGGACGCAACTGTAATCGAGTTGAAGTCGGTCAAGTGGCTTCAGGCCAGCTCGTCTGGGACGGCTAGCTGCAAGGGATGAATGACCTTGAGGCAGCGAGGTCTTGAACAATGACACCAGACCGGTCATGGTGGCTGCCCACTACACCTTGCAAGGGTACGCAAGGGGCGTTCCCTTCCAGGCCTCTGTATTAGTAAAGAGTACATCAAATAACTGAAGGGCAAAGCTGTTGTTTCAGTGTCTGAATTTTCTGACCGCTGACTCGTACTGCGTAGTCAGTTCTTGAACATGATTCCTGGAGATACTTCAGCTGATGGGTCTCCTGTCAAATGAGACGGTGTCTCTGCACGCCACGTACCTTTTCGCTTTTAATCCCCATAACTTGGAGGTCTAGGCAAGCGAACAACCTATGAATTCCACGTCTCCTTATCTGAACTGCCACAGACAGCGCATTAAACTGACCGCCTCTGTTCAGCCTTTTTGTCAGTGATGCCCCCGAAATATTTTAGACTGGTAGGTCTTTCATGTACGCTGACGGGCTTTAGATCTACAGATCGAAATATTGTTCTTAAACACTTAAAAACGACCTCTAGGTCTTTTTCCAATATTGCTGCGAACGGTGCCTTTCCCTATCATCACTTTCAATGGAGCATTGATGGCCACGACATAAATGTTCCAGGGGTTATTAATGACCGAAGTATATCCTACTACGTGAGTCCCAATCCTTCCGAGCCCTACGTTCTTAATATCTTTAAAGAACACAGAACGGCCACGTTTATCATCTGAAGTTTTCAAACTTACAACGTTAGAACTGATCTCTATAAAATGTGCATTAGACCTGGCCCATAATACTAAGCATTTTTACTTAGACTTCTGTGTACCGGTGAGCTGACGAAAATGTAGTCCGTCCGGCACCTTTCTATCAAGGAGATTTAATCTCTGAACACCAAAATGTAACTTGTTAAAAACGCTGTGGACTCACATGCCTTGCTCCCCTATGACTTCGCGATCCCGAAGGGGACCGTTTTTACTGTTTTAACTATTTTTTTGTCGTGATTTTAATTTGCTATCATCTCTAAGGCACCTTTAGCTTCCTCGGCTGAACAATCACCTTGAAGTCTATTCCATTCCTTCAACTGTCACATACGATCTAATACTATCGGTTTTTTCTGTTAACACAACTTTTTGTCTGAAATCAATTATTCAGGAATGTAAAACTTCTACAAAAGTATACCTTAATTAAGCGAACCGTAATTCACTTTTCGCATTCGGAACACCTCCAAACATTTAAGGTTGGCCAGTAGAACAAACATAACTTCCACAGTGGTGAAGTGCGTGGTCTTCTGGCTCTCCTCTTGGTCGCATATCCAGGAGAAAACGGTTGACTCTGCAGTCCGCCAATCAACAGGCAAATTCTTCAGTCAGTGATGATCAACATTTCCTCCATGCCCGTTGTGCACAAAAAGGAATAGAATCTAAGAAATCCCGTTGTCCTCGTGCCAGCAATTCTTGTTCTTTGCTGTCATAACTTCCATGAGTGCAGTTTTTTGTAAGTAGGCCTCGGTTAGAGAGATTGTTGCAAAGATCATACCTCCATCTAGAAAAGAAAAAATCTGCTCTAAGGTTGGTAGCGGGTGGTGATAGTCTGTTAGTGCTTCGTTAAAGTCTGAGGAATAATTCGCACACAATCCAATTTATCCGTTGGATTTCTTCACCGCCACGACTGGAGCAGCCTAAACTGAAAAGTCGGTAGGATGGATTATGCCTTTTGTCTGTAGTCTTTCTAACTCAGCTTCTACGAACAGTTGTACCGCAAACGAGACCCATCGGCTCTGCATAAATGCCGGCTTTTCTCTGGCTTCACGTTCAAACTTATCTTCGTCTTCCTGCACCTGTTGACCTCGTTCTCCATCCGTCCCACAAATTTCTTCTTCCGGGTCTCTTCGGTAGTGTTATACATCGCACTGCAAATTCCGTTAAAAGGACGGTTCTACAATCCCAGTTCGGAGATCTCTTTATTTCTGAGAAGATTATTATGAGTCTTCGCCGCATAGATATCAGCAATACCTTATCTCGAAAACTGACGGTAGCCTGAAAAACGCCTTCAAATTCCGTACGCGTCTCGTCCGATGCCCATTCTATGACCTCTGATGGTCTCAGATCTAGACAGCCAATATCCGCCCACGTGCGCTTGGTGATTGTGATTAGATCAGAAGTTGTGTCTACCTGCAGCGTGGTCGGTTTCCCGTTAATATTCACTGTCAAGTGAAATCGAAATATACTGTGTAAATTGCAAAACCATTGTCCCTAGATTGGAGAACATAGTCAAAGTAAGAGAGTTGACAGGTGTCACAAGATCGAGCATTGAGGAATCCATGCTGAGCAGCACTAAGTAAGTTATTCACTGTTAAGTGACACATCATCTTATCTTTAATCAATGTCTCTAAGATCTTCGAAACTGCGGGGAGGGTGTTTATTGGCCGAAAGTCATCAAATGATGTAGATTTGCCGTGCTTAGCAATGGTCAAATTGTGTGATTCCTTCCACAAAGTAGGATAGGTTTCAGTTTCAAGAGCAAGATTAAATATCTTGCATAAGAGGGATGGGAAAATCGTATTTGCATCGGCTTTTAAAATGCTTACTGGAACATAATCAGGTCCTGGACTATAAGATTGACGAAAACACCGAATCGCAACAGTCACATCCCGCAGACTGAAAGTTATGGTTTCTAGAACTGCCCCAGTCAATGACTGGATGGTCGGAAGCGGAGTGGTCGAGTCTTTAATAAACGTTTTGGACAGGAAATCATTGAAGGTATCAGCGGTTAACTGGGCATCAACTATGGCATTTCCGAGAGCGTCTCGGAAGATGGGATACTGCGTCTTTCGGTGAGTTGATAT